CAGCACAAGCTCAAGAATTGTGGGCTACGCTTATCACTTGTTTTCTATACAAGCTGATGCAATCAAAGGTCAGTTGAGATCAAACCAGTGGGTGCCGGATACACCAAAATATCCCGGAACAAAGCAGCGGCTTTCGTGGGAATGGCATTTCAGACCGTTAATTAGCGTCCGAGGATGGACAGAGACCGGATAGCTTACCCATATTTGCCTACATCAACGACAATAAACATCGTTTTGCACAAGACATCCTAGGAAACTGTACTAGGGTGAAAGTACCAACTATAACTCTGCATGTTAACAGATCTGCCGGTCTCTGTACTCTTAATTTACTCTACTTCAATGAACCCAATTAGTGCTCACTTCTTGGAAGTGGACTGTTAGCACTTGATGCACTGTCAGCTCACTATTTTCATCGTCAATAAAATGGCGAATTAGGATAAACAAATGGTAGACGTACAACACACACTTTAGGAAACTTACACCACCGATATGTATATATATATATATATAATCATTCAGTGACTAGGCACAATATACCTAACCAATTAGAAAACATTTTGCAACGATCAGACTGGTTATCCTGTTTACTCAGTTTTCACCTCTTAGTACCAAGATAAATTTCGGCTGTTGTTCAGGTTTCAGTTGGTCTGTTCACCGCGGCCGCTAGTTGTCTTACAAACGTTTCGTCAACATAGGAGGAGACACTGGCAATGTGTATGACGCAATAAAGCGCGGATTTCAACAAGGTCCATCAATTCACTTGTAAAGGGAGCATTCAGCAACCAACTAGAGTGGAGACATCAACTACTCTTTGATGGAAACTCTGTACACAGTCGCCACTGGTGATGTTTCTTCATATATCGGTAAAAAGTTTGCAATCTGATCACCAGGCTCATCGAACAGCCTAAATTTTACTTGAGTAACAGCCAATTAACGCACCCGAGCAACCAACATTTCGACACATTACTTGGGTAAGTTTCCTGACTATTAGAAAATGCTTAGTCACTATATCAGTTTCACTCTTAAACGCTCTATTTTTGAGTCTGCGGTTTTACTTGATTGGATTAACACAGTAAGGACTAACGAATACACGTATCTGCGAATCACTGCGGGTTTACAACTGAATTCCAGCTGAATCTATCTTATGGCGTCCAGAGGATGATAAAGCTGAAGTTTAAAACGATTATTCGTAATTCTGTTGCAGCAAATTAAATGATTGCATGCATATAGAATGCTCCGGAACAACTATATTCCAACTTATCGAGTCAAACCGAACCCACAGCACTACTAAAGTTTTGTGGAAATTTTAACTGATCCTAAAAATTGCTGGAAATATCCGGAATTTAAGTCATGGACAGTGTTTCCTTTCACTTAGACCCCAAAATGAAATGAAAATCACCTGACTAGCAGAGAGGAGTTGAAGTGTTCTACACGACCATACTTGTCAAACTAGTTTTACGTGCGAATAATAATGTATCGAATAACTGGTTCATTTAGACTACTACATGCGGATCTGTGACCACTGTGGCTAAAAATCACACGCCGGTTTTTTCAGAGAATCAAAACTGGTCTGTGACAAATAGTCGTACTCCAAAAATTAAACTGCATCTGGTGTCTGCAAAGCCACTCATTTGGATTTCAGCTCAAACGATATAAGTCCAATACAGGAAACTATCCACAAGGTTGCTGAAAAATCTTCAATAGCTCACCACCTGTTTCGCCCTTCTTTGCGCTAATTAGGCAGGCGCACTTCATAGTTTCTGTCAACCTAATGTTCTACTCGACCCAAAGTTGGACTAATGTCAACAAATAAACTGATTTGCATATCAATTAGGTTTTCACAATAAACTCAACCGAATCACTCGTTTATGAAAAACCGGTTGTGGGCTGTCGAAGGGTTTTCAGCAACCATGAGAGTAGTTTCCTTTATGATATCTCCAAACTGAAACGTGAGGCGGCCTTTGTGCAGCACTTTCATTTGAAGAATAGCGTCAAAGACAGATTCATTCGAGTATGTTGTGGAAACCATATTGGTGCACAACTTTTCAGTGTAACAATACTCTAAAAATATACTTGCTGTAACGAACCTAGAAATTTCAGCTCATTTGCACAGGGTTAGACCAAATTCATGGTGACTTCGTGTCTTATTTCTGCTATAAATAGCCTGCGTTTTCTCAACCGCGCTGGAGTCAGGTACCACAGTCTCAGTTGCATTGACAGACTGTAAAAAGAAAGGATGAAACAGCCGTACAGTGCTTCTCGGCTTTTCAGCATAGATTGGCTTGCAGGACGAAATAACCACAGAAACCTTCGTTCCTTTAGGCTCCAGCTGCCCCGGTCCACTTCACCACCCTTTATTACTTGCAAAATAGCTGTTCCCCTTCGACAAACCGCCAGTGCTACGTCACACTCCTCAACCCCCAATAGGGACTTGCTGGTTTGGTTTTCGTAAACTGAGTTAGTGTCAGTCCATCGATGATATGGGGAAGACTAATACGTATGCAGTAATCTACCACCACGTTGCAATCTCTTCGAAAAGTGATCAACAGCATTCCCATTTAGTTAGTATTGGAGAAAATGGAAAAATTCAAAAACCAACAGCACTTTGCATGCAGCCTCTTTAGAGGCGGCGCCCTGGTACAAACTGTCGCCATCTGATCCCTTAGAATGTGCCAAGAACCATTTTATTTTCACACACAATTGTCTGGATAAAAAAAGTACGGTAGAATCAAATGACCCATACCGTAAAAACCCGTAATCATTTCAGTTGAATGTGGCCGTGTTACGTTCAGTGCAACATCGATTCGTATTCTGTTATTGGTCGCAGATGGTTTTGAGGCTAACAGAGTTTGATTTCTTTTCTCGTTCTTGCTTGAGTCAGTATGTGCATTCCATTCCCAGAAATCGCCCAAGATAGTCCTTCACCCAAAGTTCCATCACTCAGTAGTCCGCGGGTTATTCTCAAGAGTAGTCAGTTGTCACGGGATTTCGGTTCCAGAAAGGTGGGCGACTGATTCTTCCCATTAGCGAAGCCCAAAAGATGCCTTAACAAAACTCGGTGAATGAAAATTGATATCGGATGGAGGAGCTCCCTCTTGCATTTAGTATCACAAGTTTGCTTTGTGATACTTGTTACAAAACATGATCGTAAACAACCTGAAGAATGCAGAATTATCGTTGGTGTTGTCGCACCTTTAGGCACCAAAATTGTGCTTTCTGAGGCAAACGGATAATCCAGTTCGAAAAGCAGCTTATATATATTCTACTTAAATAAAAAAAATACTTATAAGCACTGGTCTAAGATGACCCGTTTAGTAAAGTATTTCCAATAGAACAGGTATGCTGTCCTGGCATATCACACGGCAAGCCATAACAGCTAACCGGTATGTTTTTCACCAATGTTTGCATTACCTTCGTAAATTTCTAAGTGTCTAGGTTTATTCAAAGTGGTTAAAGGCCCTCACGAATTCACAGCTCCTTATCTTAGATGGGGGAAATTACGAATTCCGTGGAGAGGTGCAAGACGTCCGAGGTAGCTACTGTGAAGTCCTGCTTCTTTTCCCCTATCCTATCAAGGCTACCCAGATTACACTCTGTCACCTGAATATCAATTCCTTCCTTTCGTGTTTTCATAGGCTACGACCATCTGCTGAATCAACCGCGTTTTGTTGCATTTCAGTAAGCCAAGATATCTTTTCTGCGTCTGTGCGTTTCCAACGCAGAGGACTCCGGGAACTCGGTATACGGTGTTGTTCATCAAGTGCCAATATGCGGATCTGCTTCAGATGCAAATCCCCATCGTCTGGCCACTTACTTTCTCCAACAGTGTCTGTTTCACACCGCCACACATGGTTGTCGGTAGCCTCACCTCTTCTTGGTAACCTACCTATAGAGGTTGGTGAGAAGTTGCGTCACAAAAATCGTAAGTCAAGCCAGTTCTTTTGCGAGGTATTCATTGTCAGTGGTGGTATCTTTGTAGCCTAATGTAATCTTTCCTCTTACAAACAATGGCAAAGATGTCCCCATTTCACCCAAGTTGATTCAAATGAATTTTCACTGTTTCTGTCAAGAACAAAACGTATCAAACTCTATCACATCAGTCAGTTAGACTACGTTGGTTGCATCCGTTTAATACAGAGGAAGTCAAGTGCATCTCGGGTGTAGTCGTTGATTCGATCAATGAAATGGTCTTTTTAGCCTGGGCCACTCTGTCACAGAGCAACTTTTATGATTTTGGAATTCTGTGCATCCCAAAACAAAATTTTCCACAAGTTAATTAAGGAGAAATGTATGTCGAACCTTTGGATATTTCCAACTGAACTGAATGAGTGGGAATCAAGAAAACGGGTGATCTTAGTAGGTTTTCACATACCAGCTGCCTGTCGTGGTTTATGTATTGGTGATTAGGAATGTTGCTGCGTGATTTGAACAAGGCTTGGACCGAATTTGTTACCGTCCTTTTCAGTTTGCCAGTCAATCAACACACATATGGTATCAGTAATATTAGTAATAATGGCAATAACAGCGACACAAGTGTGATTGATAGGCTTAACTTTCAGCGACACAGCCTGGTTTTTGGATGATCACTGTAGTCCTTTCTTTACTAACTGTACGGCATCACATGGTCCGGTGTACGAAATCTCCATTTTGTTTTTCTCTTCTTTTCAACTGATTCCTTTTTAGCTGAACCAGGCTATCTCTTGCGAATAGTCGGATAGTAGACTCAACTGGAGGTACGCGTTCTCAAGGTGTGGAGCATATCCTACGCATACAGATGCGTCACGTGATAGGACCAATGGGAACGTGATATCAGGGTTAGAATAGTGTACTTGCTAGCCAGAGGTTTACATGTACCGTAATAGGGGATGGGTGCTACATAAATTCAGGCTAATTTCGGATCAAAGCTTTCTCACCTAATATGTTGCATGATATCATATTCCAAATTCCACTTAAATGAATTGCACAATCCTTCAATTATGTTTATTGCACTGTTGAGTAGTGTATAACATAACAGAGTATAACTCAATCAAAATGTCGATTGGAGAAAAAGATAAATATAGGGACGATTTTCAGGGGGGAGGGTTAATATCATAAGCTTAAGTGCAACGGGACGAAAGAAAAGTAGGAGGTTAGCTCGGTCAACTTCCAATAGTTTTGTTGGAAATGATAAAGAACACTAATCCGGGATTCAGCGGTGTACCTTTCTGCGTAGTATTAGTAGAATGAGTAATAGATATGCCGTGACTTGCGGGGAGTGACTTTGATAAAAAATAAGTCAGACATCCAGGCCAAAGGTCCAGGAGGGTCAGGCGATTGTTTGGAAGAATCGACCCGATAATGAGTTTAAACTAATATCCTTGATGATAAGGATCTGCATTCTGTGGGGTATAGGTCCTCGCGTCTGGGCTCTGATCATATCCATACTCACGCATTCCATCTTTTTGGTCATATGTGTTATAATCTTCACGCTCCAGTGGTCGATTAATATGTTGGGCTGGGAAATGTGTCGCGAACCCCTTCTCTCCATCCGGAGGTAAATCTGTCGGGGGCTGCCAGTTGGACAAAGCTTCGTCTGGTACTTCTGCCCATGGCTGCTTCTCACCAGAGGCAAAGATCGCGTAGAAGATAACACCCGTAAAATGCACCATACTGGCTATTACAAACACAATGGTCCAGCCCTCTTTGCGCTGTTAGAAATGCAAGTAAATCAAAAGTGAGATAAATGAGATGTGCAATAAAAGGCCTATTTATTCTTATACTTTTTCAGAACTCACGTGGGATGAAAATATGATCAGGATGAACGAGTCAGTTTTGTGCGCTCACCATGTGCGTAGGTTACACGACATCAAAGAAATCAGTAGTCAGGGTGCTGCAGCGTTTTTGATGAAAATTATTACCTGTGTAGGAATAAATTACTCTATTATTTATTTGTTCGTTGGTTCATCCATGAATTTTCTAATCTTTCCGTACGGCAGTTCATCGAACAGAACCACAATACACCGGAATGACGTTGAACTTATAGTTGAGTACGTTGCAAGGCAAATGCGCGATCCATAATGGGGATATAAGAAGTCGAATAAACAGCATTATATCAGACGTAATCGCCTGCAACTCTGTCACTTCACTCAGTACATGCAAAAAAACGGCAACAGAACTTCCAAATGCTTTAATGTGACAAGCACTCATTTCTCGAGTTAGATTATTTGTTCGTTGGTTCATCCATGAATTTTCTAATCCTTCCGTACGGCAGTTCATCGAACAGAACCACAATACACCGGAATGACGTTGAACTTATAGTTGAGTACGTTGCAAGGCAAATGCGCGATCCATAATGGGGATATAAGAAGTCGAATAAACAGCATTATATCAGACGTAGTCGCCTGCAACTCTGTCACTTCACTCAGTACATGCAAAAAAACGGCAACAGAACTTCCAAATGCTTTAATGTGACAAGCACTCATTTCTCGAGTTAGATGGGTTTTTCTAAATTAAAGGACCAAACACCCACGAAGTGTTCCACATTACCGTTCATTATAAGGTTTGCAATGCAATACCTTGGTAACAGCACAGAACCAATGATAGGGAGTCTCACTGATTGCAGTTTGTTTGGGTTGCCCCCTGCGCTAAATTAACTACTGAGTTCAACAAATTCGGGCGCCTCAATCAATCGCAGTGGGTCATCAAACAAACTTTAAGCTAAGACGGAAATTATCCGGGATTTGGCTTGAACGCACAATTATTTAGTGTCCGACTGTGATTATCCAACGAAGACATAACTGGATATAGCACGCAGATTTCAACAAGAATAATTATCGGTCTATCGATTGGCACTGTCTGTTTCACATAAACATCACTGATCCAGCCCCGTTCAAAGCAAGTTTATGAGGTTGTCCGGGTACCTTGTGTTGAATTCTGGCTGGTTGTTTGAGTTAGCACCAACCCGATAATTGTTACGCTGCGAATGACCAATAATGCGCCCTCCCAATATATTTTTCAACAAGAAACATCCTCATATCTTGATCGGTTTTTGTTACTCATTGAAACTGAAATGAACTTACTCCTCCCTGTGTCAGCAGTTCAGCAGTCAATGGGCATATCATGCCCGAAATCGTTCCCACACCGTTTGACAGACCCATGAGTATACTGGCATACCTTGGCGCGATATCCAAATGGTTGACATTATATCCTACAATGAAGAAGTAACCGTTCAAAAACCATTAAAATGAGCACTATTTTACCTATGTTGACAAGCCGTCGTGCGCGTAAAACGGCATGAATAAAAAGAAATTAAAATGATTAACACTTTTAGTATTAAATGTCTGCATCGAGAGATTTTTCCGCAGAAAGTGCCCATTCGTGAATGGTTCATTTATAAGATGACATATAGTCGTAGGAAAATAACACGCGACAAAGAATCTTGATTTGGACAGCACCTGTATGAATAAATATCTATAATATTATACACGTTATGCGTAACGAAATATAACATAATATAAATAGTGATATGATATGCTATGATAGTATGCCATGCTGGTTGTCAAGATGAGAAACGAATGAAAAGGCAGAAACGAACGGATACCAGGTTTGCTGCCACATTTGACAAGAATGGCAAATAGAAAAGTGTGGTTATAACCTACCGAAATACACTCATCTGCAAACTAATTTGGTTTTGCGAGAGACTCACCTAGAATCCAGTTGAATATCTCGCTTGTGATGTTTCCAGGCAACTGAATGTGCTGCACCAGGCCGCCTCATGTTTCAGTCGTTACGCTGTTCGAAATATCGCGATATATGTATATTCGTAATGCGCTACTCATAAGGTCGCTGAAAATTCGTGGTTATGATCTAGTGTGAGCCAAATATTTTAAATAAGGGTAAGGATGCGTAAGTCCCTCAACAAAAGTAGTCAGATAATCGGCATCCATTGTTGGAAAGTCCACCAAATGGGATTTACACATGATATAGTCCATGGAGCTCCGATGCGGATCATAAATGAAGTCATCTACCTTTAGCTTCAGAGTGATAGCTCAAATCGACAGGTCGTTGGGTCAGTTGACCAATCAGCCTGGTTATTGCTTCACCATCAAATGAGTTATCGCCCACACATCTTTACGTAGAGGAGTTGTGCAACATGCTATTGAGTGTGTAGGTGTGCTGTAAAAAATGTATTGGGTGCATGACTCAAGAAGAAAGGGTTTTCGATAGTACTTGGCTGATCAGGCGGACCAGTTTCACGTAACCTATCTGTAAGCTAAATTTCAAATCACCATCGGCTCACATTGAACCGAGATCCATAGTTGTCTATCATGTTACACCTAAAAGGGCTTTATCAATTTTCCAAGGTGGCGTATTAGTACTCGGTGAAATCCAGATATATGGGCAGGACTAGACAAGGGAAGTCAGACAGTAAAGCAAGCGAACTCCTACGATGACGTAGCTGTCGCCACAGTAAAGTACACTGACAACTAATAGAGAAAGTGATAATTAGGTCACTAAAGTGACACATAAATCCAGAGTGTAAATGTCCTTGACAGCGCGCAAATTTGAATAAATAAAAGTCCTTTTGGTAGCTAACTAACAACTGTTTTTGATTGCGCATTAGCAATAATTAACGAGTGTGTGGTTTTGTGTAAGCGCGTATACTACTTACAGGGTCGCTGAAAAGTGGGTTCAGCGAGCCTGGGTGAAAACAGGGGTCCGCGTTCTCGAATATGCCAATATTTCACATTTTTCCAGTCGCTCATCTACCTTGGTTCCTCATTTTTCAGCAGTGGTAGCCGTAGGGATTGGGCAATACTTGCTCAGTTATTAGTAATGTGGAAATCGGAGCTCGAAATCGAAATAAACATACACTTGATTGTAATCGTATGAATGACCGATACTTTGTATCGTTGAGGCATAAAGGGAGTCCTTCTTCAGAGAACGGATGATGGAAGAGGTTACACTCTCTTCATCTTGGTGAATGAAATGACGACCTGATTCAGGGCTAATTAGAGAGTCCGTGGAGAGTAAAAATTCACTCATCTCTCTGTGGGTCAGTCAAGCAATATATATGGTCATGTGATAATAAGGCTGGTGAGAGAAAATTCAAACATCACCCAGTTGATGAGTGAAACAGCGAATACCTAGCTTTTGTTCAGGTTACCATCGGGATTATACGGTGTCAATCATTTGTTTCCGCACTAATGATGTTTCCCTTCGTGATTGATTTTGACGGTCTTGGAAAAAGAGAAGCCATTGTGTTTCTTGCGATTAACGTGAATGGCGAATCCTCTCTATGTGTCAATTATTTGAGAACTAGTTATTTAGAAGTACCTAGTGAATTTCAGAGTTCAAGTCTTACAATCTCCCATCATGCTAAAGGTGTCCCCGTATTTTTAACTAAATCCCTGCTGGAACATGTGCAGAGCTAAAACTACTAACGTCTGAAGAAGAAAAAAACCAAGCGTGATTTTTCCCTTTGTAACTGGACCAGAGGAGGTATAATGGATAGGAGATGCCTCACTGTAGATGGCTTTAATCGCCTTCATTTATCTCTAGTGTTTAAAGTCACGATTTTGTCCCCCGCTTGTGATAACGGACTAAGAGTTTGGTGCTCAAAGACGTTCCCTAGTTCCAAGCTTCCTGATTTGATGTGGAGCTTTTCTCAACTGCGATTACTCATTCTATGATTGGGGCTTGTGGACAGAGCTTAATTTCAGTTATCCTCTGAAGAGACGACATCGCGAGGAGAAGAGACATTATGACTTCTTCTAAAGGGCCGGTCCTCCTCAAGGATACTTCACACTAGAGCGGAGTCGGATGGCCTCGGCGAGGTTATTTTGTTAGGATTATTCTGCTGCATCTAAAATTCCATTGATGCATCTTCCAGCTAGGTCAGAGTTGCCCTACTTTTCTGTGAAGATGTCTGGAAGATGTACTAATTGTAGGCTGAATGTAACTTGCAGACGTTCCCAACTCATTCAAGGTTAACACCGATCTATGGGGGACTGTCTTGACATATTGATTATGGCCATCGGTTCTAAGGTGAAAAAGCACATAATTTCAGTTGCGTTTTTTCACCGGTGCTCGGCTTTCCATTTTATATGCTGATTGCAATTTTCATTAAGGAAATATCGGGAATTTAGCTTCATATTCTTACCTGAAATGGCGAAACCGCTGAAACCGACGGCCAGCACGAGACAGGCGAGAGCCGATGTGGTTGTTTTCGAACATCCAACTCCTAGAAGAAACACAGCCTCCATTCCAAAGCCTAAGAGGAGGAGAGTAGGTGCAATGGATTGATCTTATTGGTCATAAAGTGACAAACGGAGAATAAAATCGACATAGTTACGAGTATAATAACGCTGGGTTCAGTGAAACAAAGTTAAAATTTCTAGTCATCCACCGTCTATATGCTCTGTTTAACCTACTTGGGTCTGTTCGTTAAATGACTGAATGGGTCGACAGATTAAAGAGTGCCCAGGTTGAGTGAGTGTTGGGAGCGTTCTCCGGAGAAATTCGCCCGTTCCTAAACAAAGGACTTATCTTAAGTTTCGTCAAAAACATACATGGGTTTCCGTCGATCATGTGATACAGCCATCCAAGGAAATTGAGGTCGTTTTCCGGTTAAAAAATGATACGTTCTACTGCAGAATTATGTGAGGCACGACGAGTGAAACACATACGCCTATTTTAAGCCCCCTTTCACGGCCTTTCATTTTCCCTCTCGAACAATCCTGGCATCATGATAAATCTCATCTCCCCAGAGCTCCCAAAGCACACTGTAATTCTGTCCCATAACCAGCAGTGGGAAACTTCTGTATTTCGAGTGGCCTTCTACGGGCACATATCTTCCATACCACACTACACCCAAGGATGGTGAATCTGCCAGACAACCTACTGTCGAAAATGCTCTCTTTGGGACTCATAAAGTAAGTACATTCCCAGGTTTTCGTCAGTTAATCAACCTGATTGCCAGACTTGTTACTGGGATTGATCTTTCTCAACCCTTGGCATCCGTGATGAAATGCTAGAGGGAGAATGCTAAGAAGTACGGATAATAATCCTCAGGGACCCATTGAGTGTCATATTGACGATACACAGAAAAACACTTCCACTAAACGAAGAACGTCAACGAGTGGTCTAGGTCGGAAGTAGCTAGCCGCGGACACACAGGCCTGGCTTGTAAACACAAACGTACATTCACGTCAGTTTTTCTAAGCCAGCTGAAGAGTAGCAATAGACGAACAGCAACCACTGACTTGGGACCATATGATTCCGTCTAAAACGTGATTAGTGCTCATCCAGTGCTTACGCAGTATCAGAAAACACCAAATGACAAAACGAGCTAATTATCTACAAGAGTAGTATTCCGAGCGAACAAAATGGGGGATTTTTTTTAGAAAATACCACCGCCTGGTTCCTCACCTTCTCTTCGAGAAAAGTTTTTTTGACATCGTTATACTTCATAATCTCGCGTCAAGTTTTGAAATGTAAATCAAATTCTTTTGAGGATTTTGACAGCAACCTAATGCAGAACGCAAAAATATTTCTCCAAACGGAATATACTCCATTAAGGACTCATTTTAAATATGGCAGTGAAGCATCGGTGTTGGACATTGATGTCATGCTGTCGATGATGATGATGATGATGATGATGATGATGATGATGATGATTATGATGACGATGATGATGATGAGTATGACTCATATTAAAGGGCATTACTGTATACACTTCCCAGAGGACAACTTTCTCCGGTGGTATCTCCTTAAACTTCCGAAAAAGTTTCCTCCCTGGTATTAGGTCACATGATAGTGAATCAGTTTGTGGATTTTCATCAGTAAATAAACTTCGGTGTTTTACTTCAACAATCCCCTTCTGCATATTCAGACATAGTGGAATGATATTCGGCGTAGTTGTCCAGCTTATTTATTGTTCCAATTGTACCTATATCTATCCAGAGTGTGGAAGAACCGTGGTAAGTCGGGAGCAAAATGATGTGTTGAAAACATTGAGCGGGGGTGTAATTCCCTCTTGTCACAAATCAGTTCCGTCAACGTCGACAAATTACTAACCAGAACTGTCAGTTTTTTGACATCAATGTTAAGCAACACGTTTGCATTAGTCCGATACTTCGGTTTCTTCTACTTTGTCCGAGAAAGCCCATAGATTGCTCCACCTTTGTTTTTACTATGATTTCCACCAAGATTGTGCCGTGATCAGAGAGAGAATGGTAACTAGTCGATCTATGACGTACAAAAAACGAGAGAAGTAACTACTTGTTAGTGTAGAAACGCACACTTGACATTAGTAAAGGGCTTATATATTGTGAAACTAAGTTAACTACTCCCATAGCCACATATGACTTCAGCTCACCCAAAGACTAACTTGGGAGACAATTTAACCGGAGTCCGATCACAAGAGCTGAGGCTTGTAAATTTTTACTGCCTGCCTTTTTCCACGATCTATACGTACGTCTTCTAAAGAATGTGGGAAATTATTCAAGTCAATTTAACGATCATTACTATAGGAAATAACAGTTCCAAGGATCCAAGCTACAAACCAGGGTTTACAACCGGTTTTGTCTCACTATGATCATAATTACTCCGGTGAGGTATTGAGAGGCGATCTCACAACCACAATGTCTTTCGTGCATGCACAGAGGGAATTAAAAGTCCAAATTAAGAGAAACTCTTTCAAAATTGGGAAAGTAAACGGATTTCGGTTATTGTCTGGGCTATATAGCGCAAAAAGTCCTGTGTTTCTACAGAATGAACGAATGTCTACGGTATAAAAAATATTTGTCAACAGGGTCATTGTGTAGACGACTGAGCAACGTTATAGGAGTCTCAATCCACGGCTCCAAGTTGTCCTCATTCCTCACAGGATTGTTATTTGCTACCATGCAAAACAGGGGCAATTTGCTGCTCTTGATCTCATTTACGTCTACTCATTTGGAACCTTTACAAAATCATGGGATACGGGAGCTTCTCAGCCGCATAAGAAAATTATGCCACAAAGTGTGGTTCACAGTTTCGGGATCTGGTGGCAGCGCCATATTTGCAGTCACCACTGGAGGTAGTGATCAACATTCGTTTACCTTTATTTTGCAACGTTCACTTATGACGGTTCGGTGCTACATCGTGATTCACAGCAAGGACAGTTAGGGTGGGAAGGACATAATCATGATAAATTATTTCCTACCTTTTCTCCAATTGCTAATTGACGAAGCTCTCATCGATCCTTCTTTGCAATGATTTGATCCGGTCTGAAAAAAGCTATTCCAGATTGAACGAGGAAAAAGCATTTTTACCTATTTGTTTGAGCCAGGACAATGAATGACACATGGTCCGTGCTCTCAGTCGAGAGAAGACGGAAGCATTCTCTTGTTAACATTGTTATTCAGCCGTAAATTCGCCCACCTCTTCCGCTTATCCACCATTCGGTCCATCCATCACTCTAACAGGGCACGAAGTCTGTGAAAAGAGTTTCTCATTTGATTGATGAGATGGATTCAGCTGGATAAACTCAAACCCCGTAGCGAAACACAATTAGGTTCATATTAGACAGTTTTCGGGCAAGTAAACGTGCTTACAAAAAATTTCTGCACCAGAAAGTCCGCGGTAACCAAAAGTGGATAGTGGAAGAAAGAAATTGGAATGAAATCCGCTTCTCGCCAATGAGGATGCGAATCGATTAGGGTGACGAAGCGTGGAAATGACAAGACCTATTCCATCAAGGCCCTCGGGCATTTTCGAAGATGATGTACAGCTGGCTATCCATCATCTGAAAAAAGGATGATTCGTCGGATTCTTTGCCCTAAAATATTTCAGATTTTGGGTTCTGTGGAAATTCGTCCCATATGTCGGCATTATGGTCATGCATATTTTGGATCTGCCAAATAACACATGATGTATTACAATGATGGGCTTCAGTTTTGTGTGTGCTGCATACCCCAAATCTTCAAGCCTATTATGTATAGACTAAGGACGTTCCCATAAGCGGTGGATCGCTCTGGATATATCCGTAGACACTTCTGTTAACTACGGAAACTGCCTAAATGGTCATTTGGGAGCCGTCACCCCCCCCCAGGTGTGACTACATAAACATAACGAACAGCGTATTCATACTCGGCCGTTACTGTCCTATTGTACTGTATCCTCAGCCCTAACGGTAAACATTATCAGTTATGGAGTTGTTTGGTGCACGTTTCAGGATCGCCGAGAAATTTCTGCAGTTGTATGACTCAAAGCCCTTGCTTTCCGAGGGACGTAGTTCCAGATATTAAGTGACTACCCCATCAGAAAAGTGTACCTCATAGGTCGGAATCACTTCCATTAGGAAAACCGTGAATGGTTTGAATATGAAACGCTTGCTTGCTGTCAGTGTCCAAATCTTAAGCAAGTTAGACTTAGCCGGCCCATTTACCACTGGACATTTCTAACCAACACGAAAATTGATCATGAATCGCAACGTAGTTTGAGATCTTCATAAAGCACATTCCATATAATAGCGAATCTGTTAAGGACCATGTTGTTAGGTCGGCATCAGACAACGAGTCATAGAAGTTTAGGGAGTTTGTAGGCATCGGAATAGACAACTGTTGGCCGGAGTGTGTCCGACTGACTATGATTGTGGAAATGGATTGCCGCTTACAATATGGCCGTTCATAATTAGTATTTACATGACTGGGATTAGTTTGCTCCCGGTCGATATCTATCCGCAGCCCAAGTGGGAGTTGAAAGGAGTATCAGTTCTGCGCCAACCATTACCAGATAACCGACAAGGCCGACTAAAGTAATTTCGTCCTGAAAATGCAGTTTACAGCCTCATGGGGTTGTATGATAGACTCGTGCCTTTTCCAAGGGCGTTGAATCGGCTTCTGAGCTAGGTCAAAAAGAATTGGACATTTTATCGACTTTGCCTACGTAGGGAATCACTCAAGCTGATTTATCCGACCATGGAAAAAGGTGAGAGTAAAGGCCAACACCAGATGCGCTCTGAATCGACCCCCATTGTTATCTTCTTCTTCCAAAGAGTACTTTGAATGAGCTAGAATGGTGTAGGCGAGGATTGTCAAAGTGATGTATAACGTTACAAGCGAACAGCAGAAGCCGGATGAACCTCCGGTAAACCTGCCAAATGTACCTTTGTTTTCTTTGCGATCTGATAGGCTGCTACTCCTGTTCGAGGTTGAAAGCCAGGCCGCGTTTATAATACTGGATTAAGAACATAATATCCATGTAGCCACCATCAAAATTATCATTTCGAGTTAGTGTACAACTAACTAGGCACTCACCTCCGCAGTTGAAGAGCTTTCGGACTGTAGTGGTAGACAGTGTGTTTTTTCGCAGTCGATCTGCAAGCTGACCGCCCAAGGGAACAATGATCGCCATCACAAGGTGAGGTAGTGCCGACAGGAATCCTGTCTGTTTGGAGCAAAAGGAAGTTGATGCATTTTACAAAAAAGTGATAAGACCATCACCACAGTTAACCTGGTTATCATTTGACCGTCAAGTATGCTGTCTATATCACATTTACAAGTCCCAGATAGAATGTTCAGGGAAATCGCTGTACGCCTCATCGCACGCTTCAGCTTACTTTCTACCAAAATGAATGTTCGTTAGTATTATGTGACGAATGACCATCTGGCTCAAACGATTGTATTTTTAATTTACGAAGATGAAGGAAACAAAACGGTATGGAAGTGGATCCTTTCTGTTTGTTGTTTTTCAAATTTGATCTTGTGTATGTAGCCACCCACTAAGCTTTAGGTTTCTAACAACAAGTCTCATCTGGCCACTTTGGGTCCAGCAAAAACTGGATCGTATTTAGGTTCCGATGATAAGCTGAATTTTGAGACGATGAGTTCTACCGAGTTGTTTTCTTCGAAAGTGTCAGGAAACGCGTCAAACTGAAGAAAGTAAGACACCACCAACCTTATGGGTAGTATGCTACATTAGGATACTTTCCCTTTGGAGAAAGAACACAAGAAGAAACTCACTGGAAACTGCCTTATCTGCTAGCTTCGCGCAACGGTTCTAGTCTCAGGAGAGAAGATACCACATACCTGGAGCATTGAGAGACCTTAATACGCATTCCAATAATTGACATAACAGATCGGGATGATATGTGCACAAAGGTACTTGTTAAACATCGTATACGTTCACTCACATCTGCTTTTGTGGTCTACTTTACACATTGACAAACCCAAATAATCGAATCCCATTTAATGCAGACGGGTACATGACGTCATTAAAGTGCACCCACCTCACTACAGAATTAATGAGGTTTGCAGTTATTGATTCAATGTAACAACTTATGAATTGAGGAGAATGGTAAGGCTTTAGAAGGCCAAACTGACTAACCCCAGGTATGTTTGTGGACAAAACTTATGCAGTTTCATCATCGGCTTTTGGGTTTCCGAGTAAAAGGAAATGAGATTCCGTGGACGTAGTTCAACTATTGAGACTGTTTACCATGACTCCAACCACGATGTTGACGGAACATGCAATCGCGAAAGCAGCATAACTTTCGGGTTGGATCATGTGGTAGACACAAACATTCCAATAAAACACAAGGTAACTTATACGAGGATAGCGGTTTGTTGGTCTCCTTGAGACAAAAACTGTTTTTCCACGTTTCGTCCGGAAAAGTGCGTCATTCGAAAGACCCGTTCATCGGATCCTAGAATCCTTTAGGCTAACTTTTTGAGAGTAACTCTCCTAGATTACTACAACTTTCATAATGTTCACAATAACGCAAACCATCAGGCCTGATGCACAAATCGTAAGTGTGGTCTGCTGATGGAGGGCATGCCTATTTGTCTGCCGGATTCCAAAATAATAGAATTGTTAGTGAGATTGTGCTAGGTTTTTATCCAGTAGTTGGAGTCTGTTATCGTTTATTTTTGAGGAGCATGGTCACAGACGTAAAAAGTAAATGCAATGTGAAAGGGGTACAGGAGAATATGAGATAAAAAAAGGGCAACATCTCATTCAAAGTCATGCCACCAACAGTTCCAGTCAGATAAGGTGAATCCATCGGTTGGTGGACCAAAAACTCGACATTATAACCAATGGCTCGTAGGGCTGAGATTATGGCGAGGGGATATTCATCAGGACCATACTTCTGTTTCTTCTCATTCCACGCAGTCAATCCGCGCCCATCCGAGACTATGCTTACGTCTATCCCAGTTGCTCGGCCCTTCTGAAGAAGTATTAGGTCAGACTTGATGAAAGACGTCGAGGTGGGTGTTCTCAACTCCTCGAGGACTGAGTACCTCTGGCGACGGAGACGTTTGGCGAGTTCCCCTGCAACCCGATTATGCCGAGCACATCTGGCGTAATGCGCGATCCAGCAGAACTGCAGAATATGCACCAAACTCTCCGGTTGGCCATAGTTTCCACGACGTAAGATCGTCTGGTCACCATGACCATGCCGGGAGCTTCTAACTCTCATCCTGAGCAAGTTGCATCGGAGCTGGATACCACAGATAAATATCCGAGGAAACACTCGTTCTGGAAATACAATCCATCAATTAGAAAGAGGTAATGTGACCAACTCTCGTAAATCACGACCGTCAACGCTGTTGTACAGATTATCAACCCAAGCATCCCAGCCACGCATGCACCATGGACTTGGATAGGAAGGACGAGATCCTGAACAATCTTTCCAAATACGGAATCGTTGACCACGTTGCCCATTACTCAGCACTGGGTAGGAGGTAGCTTTTTCATGCGCGTTCTCAGCTGCATCGACATTGTTACACTCAGACTTGGGATACCGAGTCCTCCGTGTTTATGGCATGGACACTCAGACTTGGGATACCGAGTCCTCCGTGTTTACTGGCATGGATGTAGTTGATCGGGATGTCCTTCGGTAGACGTAACCAGCCACGAATAGGTTGTCTGATGTAGTTGTCCAACCTTTTGAGCGTGTTTCAGTGAACTTGGCCGAGCACGAGCGAGTTTGTTAGTCTCGGTAACAAGTAGTTTCTCGTGATCTCCATTCTTTGATGCGGATTCAACGGGACACGCGACATCTCATCGATTAGTTTGAGCAAATGCTGTTGTTGGATGAAGACCTGTTTCTCCTCGAAAGTATAGCGGATGCTCAAATATGTTACGGTTTCTGTCGGACCTAGAGGAGTGATGAGTTTCTCGGTGAAGCAAAATGGTTCGAATGAGACTGATGTCGCTCGATGTTTCCAGCGCCTTCGTTTTTCAGGCGTTTATCTTCCAAACTCGACCGCAGCAGCTTCAAGCTCCTCTCTAAAGAGAACTTTGCTTTCTGCACACACGCACTCGTCAGCAAAGGCAAAACCATTTACTAGAGTGTCATGGAATCGGTACCCCAGTTGCCGCATCGACAATCCAAGAACCTCATCCAATGCCATGATGAGCAACAACGGGGAGATTGGATCTCCTTGCCTCACGCCTCTGTGGCAGTGAACCTCGGAATTGAGGAAAACTACCACAGCCTTCTAATAGGACTGTGCTCCAAACGTGTCTGCAGGTACAACCGAACAAATGTTCAGACACTATAGCTTTCAAAATGGGGAACAATCTGGCGTAAATTACGCGCGATATGATAGTCTAAATTCACCTCACTGAGAAACCCAAGTAGCTCTGAGTTTGAGCAACACCAGATCATTTTGTAAAGTTTGTGTGAATGTAGGTACAAACACCACAGACAACGACGGAATTTGGCTACTAAAAACAGGGCCAAGAAAGCCTCTTTTCCTATATGTTCCTTCACTTCTGATGTAATACTGATTTCAAAATTCGACCATCGTGTTGAGAGAAAGGCGAGCAAGATGGAAGTACCGGATGAATCCTGATGAACACAAAACTTTAGCAAGTAGACTCTGCTTGTTGACTGTCTGGCTCCTTAAACAACAATCCGTTAGCGTCCACTTCGCCAAGCGATGAACAGTTACACTTCGGGCATATCAGCAGATAAACTGATACCTTGTCAAGGTTTTCAATGCAGACAAGGGTTTTCAACCTCAACTCCCTTTGTACAATCGAATGAACACTGGTTCGTTGAAGTGAGCGCAGTTGCTTTTTTGGCCAAAATACAAGGGTGTGAATGAACTAACGACATTTGTAGTCTACACCTGGACTCAGCTGTAACTGTGTGTAAGCTTCGAGGTAGTCCAAATTTCTTTAGAACATACTTATTTGTTCAGTAAACAAATGCATGGGTCGAAAATGATAAATTTGCAATAGAGAGGATCACATGGATACTCGGATGAGTTGCTGTGAAAAAATGTGGTCTAGTTCAAGTCTTTCTGCCAATTTACGAGCATATTTGTGTTAAGTTGAACAAAACAGATGGAGCAGTACTACTCTCCACAGTTTGGTGACAGCAGACTCCCTTTACAATTCACATGAATTTGAGCCATGTTTTTTTGCAAAGTGGGCACATAACTAAATTGCTACGTGATGTGCTATCGAAGAGCAAACAACAGAGCATCGGCTTCCAGCAAAACGAAATAATCAGAAATGGATCAGACAGAACTCACCTCTGCCATATTGTAACCAAAGACTTCCTTGAAGTACTTCGGCGTTTTCATGATCAGCAAATAGAACGACCAACTCCGTGCAAAATTTGCAACGATGATTGCCCAGACAGGAAGCGAAACAAAGAATTGGCGCCACGGAATAGGGATTTTCTAAATCATAACATGAAAGTCGCATAGTGATAAAGTAGTACAGTTCGTTACGAGAAAAGCCTGAATTTCATCAAACTGATAATTATCAAGAACAACACTAAATCCTTCGCATGAAACGTGTAACAAATTTACAGCATTGAATCTTTTGGGCGACAATTCGGCGAGTTAAATTTTGGTGCCTTACGAAGGCTGTGCCACCTGCTAATGAGAGTGATGCGACCTTTGAAGCAGCCACTGAAACATGACATGATACGGTTCGGTAAGTACCCCGAAATGAGTATAGCAGTCATCATAATCGTTCCTTAATCATGGAGAAGAGAATACGCCGCCACGTATCACAGCAGAATTCGTGGTCACTGTGCATCGTAACACAACCAGAAATATTACGGAGATTCGCTGCAGTTGAGCAATAGGTTAAATTGGAACAGACTGATAATGTCAATTCGCAAGGTGCCAAATAGTCTGTCACCAAACTGTCAAGTTCAGGGAAAAATGTAACCGGTGCCTGAACAATCAGCCTCCAAAGTATCACCTTAAACCTTTCTATAGCTTGTTTGTTGGTATGTTTTCAGTTGAAAACGATTATAGTACTGCGTATTTGGTTTTGTGTGATTATCGCTAGTGCAGTTAGAGACAAGTTAATTTTTTCAACCGTCAGGCGATGCATTGAGTTTTGATGGGAATCATATGATGAGATACTTCAGAAGTCAACTTCTCCAAAGGGTCGCAAAAGAAGCGCAACACTGAAAAATACTACTGTCGGTGAGGAAGGAGTAATAGGGGTGAAAAAAGAAGCACAACACTGAAAAATACTACTGTCGGTGAGGAAGGAGTAATAGGGGGTGAAATGAAAAAAATGAGAATAAAGAGAAGAAGATGCGACAAGAAATTCACACGGACGAAAGTAAGTCAATGAATAGACCTCTATAACAGGAGGTGGTCACGCGATCGATCGGACACAAATCGCAGAACGCAGTAGTTGTCAACTGCTGACGATAAGTAATTGGAATTTGTGATTGTCTATTCTAAACACAGAAGTCTAGCACTTGTGAGATTTTCAACTTTAAGCGACACAATCCGATTTAAAACTTGAAGTTCCCTCACAAGTTACAAGGAATCGCTCCACAAACGGCATGGCTTATGAGTATCAGAACCGTATCTCGAGTCACGTGAAGTGATTTGCCTGACTAAGGAATAAGTGGCAGTCTGATCTTTGCCATTTTAGTTGCTGGCTTGAACATTCTACTTGCATGCTGCCAGTGATTCTGCAGTGGTTAGTGATTTAGAAACAGAGTAAACATATTAGAAGTGTAATTTAGGAGCGACTAAGTTTATCGCGGGATATTCCTTATGTCACTAAATATTTCAGCTCTTCCGTTGCCACAGGATGCGTCCGGGTGCCAAAACTTCAGGCATCTTATGACGGAATCATGAGGCATCATGCGGTAAGTCATCCAGGGTCAGTGCGCTAGTGTTAACTGGTAGTGTGTTGCACGCCTCCTCTGCCTAGATAACGGGTAGGAGAGCGAGGTGTTACTTGACAATTTAGATGGGCGCCTCTAACAGAGTTGGTGCTTATGTGCCAGTTGGCTGAACTTTCTAGCAAATTTATATGCGTGAGTCACAAAAGCAATCACTGTTAAGGGGATGATTTATTCCTTGTGACATTCTTTAATGGTTCTTCAGTGGCAGCCTTTTCTTTTCTTCTTCGTTTTTACCTACGGGGATGCGATACAACCTGCTGCGGGTTTCCATTATTCTTTTCTCTCCTCATGAGGCTAGCTGATTGTTTTTACTCAAAACCATTTCTGTCTCCCCATCGAGCACTTAACAAAACTTAACAGGTTAATCACAATTATTTCCCCCATTAAAATCGATCAATTTTCTAATTAAAATTTGCCATTATCACTGACGAAGCACAAGCGCTGCGTAGAGCTCTGCGTTTGCGCTCCTTACTCAGAACCTAATAGCTGTGAGTCCAGCACACCTCCCGATGTGACAAATCCCTACCCCTCCATTTCCATGGCTCCTAAGTCCTAATAGTTCGCCGATGTTGCTGCTGTTTCTGTTCGCTCGCGTGACTGATACGACGTAGTTCTCATTTCCTGTTTCCGTTCGTTCCATGTGTGTCTGAAAAGCGATCGTTAGAATCAACCCCCCCCTCTCTTTGAGGCGCTGCTGAACGTTCTCGTTCAGAGACATGTCACCACCACTTCTCCACCACAGATTGCCTAAACGCATACAAACGTAGAACGGGCACACGCACATGCACTCAAAGTCCAGGTGTGCATGGGCTATGAAGGAGAGTCTGGGCTACCGCCCACATGCTGGCAGCTGTACGCCTGTGCATAAATGCTCGCGTGCTCACTAACCAGAGCATGAATGTCAAGCGTGATTTATGCCAGGTAGGCAGTAATGGGGACAGAATCGGCAACGTCACCGCCAACAATGGTAATAATGCAAGCGGATACAAACGGCGCGTAGCAATGAGGGAACGAGGGACAGAGAGCGTAGATAGAGCATGCTCAGAACGCCCAGCGTACTGAACGTGGGTGATTCAGCCGCGCACTGAAGTCCTAGGACAAAAGGAGTTGACACATGACGAGCTGTGATGTTTGTTGGTGTGTGTGTGTGTATGCGAATGGACACGAGGATGATGGTGATTTCCGCACAACTGATCAAATATGCATCTTGCAAAATAAGCAACCAGATGACCTTATTTATCAGCTGGTTTGCCATCAGAAGCAATTGGATAGCACTGAATCGCATCGGAATAAAACAGAAACAGAGTGGGGAAAACGTCGATTGATGCCAAATTGAGCTGACTAAGTTTAGTGGATTGTAGCCAGATGAAAGTGCAAGTGGATGGACAGTTTTCGGTTTGCGTAGGTTGGTGGATCGTCATTGTTTTTTTTAACGAAGGATGTCACCCAACGGGAAAAACAGACAAATTTAATGTGAACGAAAACATGTACACGTGAAGTGTCGAAGGTCTTCTGGTTTGTCGTACAGTTGATCTCACACCCACGCATTCCCGAATTAACTGATCGATCACAACTCATTTGTCTGAGAACTCAGGTCACCAGATAAGAATGCGGAATGTTTCCAAAGGTTATTCCACTTTAGATCTTTTTTATTCAGAAAAACTTCTTTGAGAACAGTAAATTTTTTAATAAATAATAGTACTGCTGAGAAAATTGAATCTACTGGTTTCTAACATATATAGTGATTTGTCCTAACCTATTCAGGGACACCAGAATAATGAGCATTGATGTGCGCGTAATTTGTTATGAACCTGGTCGTTTAGTACTTCCAAATTTGTAACGCCAGTTGCACAGTACCTTAAGTCAAAGGCGTGACAGAGTGCAGTGTTTCGAGGTCCTTACCTGATTACTGTCCTAGTCCAACGTGGGCTCTTTGACTGGCAGATGTTTACACCGTTTACTCGTTGCTGAGACAAAACCTGGGCATCGATTTTCAGTTTTTAGCGAAATATTTTGTTTACTATCATACTAGGCACCAGAATACAAACAGAATAACTGCTGGCAAGAGTCTTTCGACAACATTTCTTCAAGATCTGCTCCAATGTTTGTATCAATACACGAGTAGCGGTTCTTCAAAACGTAAAACCCAGCGTTCACATCTTTTTAGACGATTTTACACATTCTTTTTACCTGATGGACTTTCACTAATCGTAAACTTCCAAATCAGGTTAAGATTCTTTACACATGAATTTTACAAATAGTGTTTATCATGTCGCTTACCTCCGTTCTTTAAAAATTAGTCTTTCTGAAAACTCACTAGCAACATTGGACACAAAATCCACTGGTTTTGTCACGTTGTTTAGAGTAAGTCTCTGATGTTGAAAGTGTCACGACCTGTGGCTATTTAAGCTTCAGAATGGATTTTCCTGCGAGAAAACCACCCCACTTCTGTGAATGAGTCTTCTTGTTGAGTGACAGAATGTAACTCATCTGGGGGATGTCAGCTATTTTGAAGCATTGCGTCACGGAAAGCCTTCTATTGTTCATTTTTTCAGCAGCAGAACAACATTGTACCGGAAGTAGCTTTGGAAATACTGGAATAAACGCTATGATGTGTGAATACAGAGAGGTTTTGTTGTTGCCCCAACCGAGAATGCTTAGTTGGTTATGGTTAGCGGACAGATAACTCACGTGTTCCAAAACATTAGGGTTATCACCTATGGATGTTTCGATGTAGACGCGCTCCGCTTCTGTGATTGTTGGGTGTATGGCCGGTCGCTCGTAGGTCACTCTCCACCACCAGACGAACCAGAACATTCCGCTTATACCTGATCGAGAGAGGCGCATTAAATGGCTTAGGTGGAATTTGATATCGGTGACTAAAGTTCAATAACGTGCATCACACTGAACGATTAATCAAAGTTTTGAAGTTCCTGTTAACGCGGCAACGATTTTGTGCTTGAGCGGTAAGGCGGCTCACTTTAACAGTGACTCCTCAAGTGTTTGGGTTGTTCTGTCCCATATCCTATCTGTCAGGCGTTCTAGATCAGGAAGCAGTATGGACGGTTTAAATTAGCTAATTGACGTATAAACAAGCAGAACTATAGTAAGCAAATTCGAACCAATAATTTTATATTATTCACCTATTTACCATTTGCGTGCTGAAATAAATCGAGGTTCCGAACTTCTTTTGGCTCCAATGAGACGCCACGGTTTAGGTAACAATACTCCGTAAGGAATGCGTGACTCGAAAAATGTGCGGTATTCAAGTAGGATTCCGTTTGCTAATATAATGTTGGCAACAAGCTATGAGCACCTAAAGGCAGAACGCCTCTTGTGGTATGGTGTTTCCAAATGTCCCTTGAAGAGATTCCAGAGACGGTGAGACATCTCGAGGCACTTGCACGTGAAGTAAATGACTCGAGTAAAATAGGTGGAACTGAAACGATTGTCCGACTGTAGCATTTAGCACTGCAACCAGTTTGCTTGTACCCAAATCAAGCGAAAAACAAGCATAACCTTCTGATTCAGAAAATGAATTTTCAATGGGTGTTACGCTTCACAACTCAATGAATGCTATCTGATCGGAAGGGACAACCTTGGTGTGTCCGTATGAGTTAAACTGAAGTTGTGAATCTGAAGAGCAATCTGAGGCTCGCCAATTTGAAAGCTGAAAATCCACAGTAATCAGAGGAAAAAGGAAGCATCAGCCCCAAGAATGCCGACCAAATCTGTAACGGAGACTCAAAAAATTACTTTAACCTAGCTTATGATTGGCAAGTAGTTCGGTGAACAATGTTTTATACATTATCCTGGTGATTCAACTGGAAGTTTGACCTCCTGACAGGGTCTGAAGTGTCACAAAGTACTGTATCAGCAACTTTCCGAATTAATGTCCAAAACGGGAATAACGAACCATGGAGCTTGCTTACCGTAAAAGTAAAAGGGAGACTGCCAACCGAGATTCTGTGCGAGGAGGCCGGAAAGTGACAAGCCAAACACTGCTCCTGCATAGGAACCTAAAAATGGTAAGATAACAAAAGACTATTTAAAACGAATGTGTTGTTCGAAACGTTTTCTACGCACTATGTCTGCGACTAATTCTCACGTTGCAAACATATCTCAGTGAAGCACTGGAATACACCTGGACTTTGCATGTAAACATCAGCAACGTATATGAGATAAAACAGCCAGTTGAAATGGGATGATAACCTAGTGCCACACAGATAGAAAGACAAGTTACATACATTCAAACAAATCTTACCGCAGAATGCAATGGTAGCAAGCCGTGACCTTTCCAGTGGTGGGGCCCAGAAACGCCATATCCCGTGGCAAGCCGGGTATGAAGTTCCCTGTTTTGAATGGAGAATAAAAAAAGTGTTCTGCAGGAGTTTTCTTACTATTGCACTACAGTTAAGAGAGGCTTTTAATGCTGAAGTACCAAGTAGCTGGCCTAATCATACAACAGTTTTTGATCTTCGAAATACTTGGCTGGAAACGATATGCAGGGTGGCAATGTAACTTAAGATAGGCTTCTCTGGGGAATCTTGTGTGCAATTAGTTGCCTTTCTGTGGTTTATCAGCCTAAACAAACTAAAACATAAGACGTGGTAAAACCGATGGGAAATAAGATGACGATCAAAAGAGAGAACAACCCTGACCAACTCCACTAGTTGTGGGGACGATTTTGAGCAGTCCATGGTACAGTCTCATGCTACCGCATGTGCGCGGAGAAGGACCCTTTAAGGACATTCCCATTTGTTGAATATTTAGAGGGACCTGTCAAATCGTGGAGTTCAAACCTCCCTCAATATGGATGAGAGCGGTGGTTGGTTTGGAGTGGATGTGACGCTGCTCAAGCACTTGAGGTACCCTACACGGTTGAACTCTTACAGAATGTACCCGGCTTGCACCTCACATGCCGAAGGGGGAAGCCAGTAGTCTTGTTACGATAGATGTAGGATGTAAATCCTTATAGCTGTAAACATCGCCCCGCGTATCCTTTCGAAATACAAAGCCGGCTAACTCTTGGGTTTAATTCTTGTTTCCAAGTAAGTATAAACAACAAGTTCAAGGCAGAAAACAAATATTGACATACATTTTTATGCGCGCTGAGGAGGCTTCAGAAACTGTTGGCTGATCTAAACCCGTAGACAACGGCTCAAAATGAGCGATTCGCATGCAAGGCCAGTGGGCCAACTAAACTGTTGAAACTATACCGCTTAGTCATTTAGACCATGGGCTTCATTACTTATTGCATCCTAGTTTTATGTTGGGTTACCTGACGTAATGCAACCCTCATTATCGGCATTGCGCAGTATCAGGAAGGTCAGCTTCCTGAAAGCAATCACTGAATGCCCAAAATCTACCGAGACTCTCAGCTCCGCTAGATGCTGACCAGATAGACAACGCCCCCTCAATATGCAGCGAGTCACAACCTTATATCAAACCCAGACAGCGCGAGTCAGCGTTGATCAAGGTCAAACAACGCCCCCGCAATATGCAGCACGTCGCAACCAGACCGTGTGCGTCAGCATTGGACCAAGTTCAGACGGTGTCCTTCCAATAAAAAGCTTGAGGCCGTTGTACTTTTCGCACTCGCACGCACTCGCGCTCTTGCACCCACTTTGTTGGAATATAGCTATTGTGTTCCCGACACTAGGCACTGGAGTGGGTCAGCAGCAGGTACCTCAGATTGGCGAAACGGCAGATATAACACGCAGTTTGTCCGAAAATAACCCCAATGCATTCCCAACCACACATGATCTGATCTATATATTCGACTTCCTGATTCACATAAGACTGTATCTGAACTGTCATCCAATTGACTCTCCAACCGAATTATGCTCTGAGTCGAAAGGGTTAGAGCTCCTCTTATAAGGTTATGGTGGGCAACGTTCTGAAGCCCACTGATTTCAATGTAGGTCTTCGGAAACACCTCAATCAAATTTTCCAGCATCACGTATAGCCGTGATTATTTTATCTCCATAATGATCATTGTCCTCCGATGAGGTCGGCTGAAACGTACCATAAGCCGTGTTTCGTAAATATTTTCTGGCGTCTACCTGGAAAATTTAGTGAAAGTATGCACCAAACGAACCCGTCATCTGAATAATTACGTGTCTTCGAAGACGAGTGGTCGTCTAAGATCGAACGACACAATCGGTAGCTGGTGATATTGAGATCGATTTGACCCAGAGACTGGACACTGGATATATCGGGAAGGTCAGCTTCCTGAAAGCAACCACTGAAGGCCCGAAATCTACCGAGACTCCCAGCGTCCCCTCAATATGTAGCGTGTCACAGCTTTGTATCACGCCCAGACGGTGAGTCAGCTTTGAGCAAGTTCAAACAACGTGACGAAGTTCAGACAGTGTCCTTCCGATAAATAGCTTGAGACCGTTGTACTTTTGCACTCGCACGTCCTCACGCTCTCGCACTCGCTTGTTTGGAATACAGCTGTTGTGTTCCCTTCTGTGAGTCATTTTTCGGCACTGGGCACTGGAGCGGGCCAGTAGCGACAAAGTGGCGGATGAGCAGACATAACAGGATTTGACGAGCGAAGGCCACTTAGTGTTTCAACTATTTGGGCATATTATCGAATTGGAAAGTGAGAGCCAGTTGTTTACAGCTATCCGGTCTATTACATAGGTCTCAGTCCTACCAACATGAGTGCAACCCGATATGGCAGTTGCAGAATCATCCGAAGTTCACAATTGAAGGTTGTGTGTAAATAGAGGCAGTGCTGCAATTCAACAACCGTAGCTGAATTTTGCATTCGAGTTCCAGACATGCAGCAGACGTCAACCGATGAAGCATACAATCTGCATATAAGAGCAGTTACTATAAAATAGGTAGGTGGTAAATTAAGATGTAACAATTAGGAGAGACAGGCGTCAGCATTTACCGGTTTTTGTTTCTTCGCTAACAGAGTGGCTCAGCTGATTTCACCACACAACGGCCAATGTGGCATGACCGTACGTTTATTTATAAAGGTGCTGGTGGCATGTGAGCTGGCTTACTGTCAGAGCACCTTGAGTTGATCTTAAGAACCATTTCTGTATTCATCCAGAGCCTTCGGCTCAAAAGCCAAGCCGAAAATATACCGATAATGGGCGTAGGACCACTAAAGTAGTCCAGATTTCAGGAAAGAACATGCCATACATGTTCCAACCCACAACCCGGAGACACGCTCTTTTCTTTCACTTCACTTCGCACAAGATGCGATGAACCGTACTACTGAAAAGAGTCACTCAATAAATATGGATTTGTAATGATTTTGAGTCCGGTGTGTTTAGGAGTGCTGAGAATACAGTCACATACTCTTGAGGTCAAGTGTTAACATAAGAAATGAAAGGTCTATCAGGAAAGTCAGATTCCTACAGGTAACCACTGAATGCCCGAAATATACTGAGACCCCAACTCCACTAGATGCTGACCACAGAGGGAACACCCCTTCAATATGCAGGGCGTCAGCCTTGTACCAAAGCCAGTCAGCGTGACTCACCACTGGATCAAGGTCAGGCAACGCCCCTCAATATGCGGTGCGTCGCAGTCTAGTATCAAGGCCGGATAGCCTTAGACCAAGGTTAGACATCCATCCATCCACCCAACAAAATAGCTTGAGGCTGTTTTACTCTCGCACTCACGCTCTCACACTTGCTTGTTTGCAATACAGCTGTTGTGTTCCTTATCGGCGTTTCTTTTTCCGGCACTAGGCACTGGAGCGGGAACAGCAGCCAGATATAACAGATTGGTGACTCAATCAGATATAACATAGTCACTGATCAAAGCATGTTGCGAGCATTTCGCGACCGCTTTTTACGGCGGAACAAACATGAGAAAAACGCCACTGAAGGTAGACACTGAGTGACTATCTCATTGGGAGACAGGACTGAAACCGTTTCAGTCTGCGCTTCATATCATAAATTGGCAGTTTGTGCTTGACGTAGTGTCGATGCGTTTACTCATCCGGAATAGTGAGAGCCACTTAGTGCAAAAAGCGCTACACCCACACGCATAACGACGCAAACTGGTAAATGTGAGAGATGGGCTATCATTTCTTGGTGATGAGATGAAAAATTGTTCGGAAAGAGCGACAGTTTGGGCAACCTAAGAATGGACAAAATGAATAATTAGGCTGCTACTATCACCTCTATAAGGTGAATCGAGCAGCCAGCGTCTTAACGATTAAGTTAGTAGTTTTCTTCATCATGCGTTCAGACCAACCGGTCGGCAGGTGGCCGTTTTCTTGCGGTAAAGTAACATTTTCAAAAAAAAACCGGCCCCCTTTATTCTGCTTTTTTTTCAAAATTCCCTTCCATTACGCGATGGGAATAAAGCTAACACATCAGATAAACTACTTCATTCTTTAAGCTTCTTGGATAAATTGTCTTTTGCTCTGCCACCTTTGTTGAAAAGCTTCGTGAAGTTTTGTCCCGTACTCGTTCGACAAAAAATTGTACACTGCGGTTCCACGCTCCTGAATTTTCTAAAACCTACTCTTTCCGTAGTATGTCAGTGATAGCCTTTACACAACGGTTTCACACCAGTCATCATCATCATCATCATCATCATCATCATCATCATCATCATCATCATCGACAGCATGCCATCAGTGTTCACAACCGATGCTTCACTGCTGTACAATCATGAGTTGTTTGAAAGCTTTATTGTAAAGAAGAGAATAAAGGTGGATTGGCAATTGATTCAGTGCTCGCTCATCACAATCATTCCGAGATGCCTACGCCTCCAGACATTCACTCAGGCGATCTGGATAGAAACTGACAACAAGAACGCCACTGATATCCCGTCAGCACCCAAGCGTTTCGTGATCTCCTTCATACTCCTCTGCCAAGTCAAGGGTTGGCCACCACTCTGTTTACGCCACTCTGAGTTGGACATGGAAAACAGCACTCTCTTCAGCAAACGATGGTTCGGCATACGTAACGCATGTCCCAACCAACGCAGCTTCTGGTGCTGGACACATTCTTTAATGGAAGTACCCGT